TATAAGCATATGTGCAGTTGGGGGCTTGGGCCCTGCTGTGCGGAGATTGCATGTTCTTCCTGTGTTATTGTGGGTTTTCTCAGGGTCCAAACAGTCCAACGACACGCAGGTTGGGTTAATTAGGTCAATTGGTGACCCTATATTAACCACAGGTGTGAATGTGAGAGTGAATGATTGTCTTTCTCCATGTGTCAGCCCCATGACTCACTGGTGACTTGACCTGTCCTTCTAAAGATACTTGGTTACAGATAACGGATGGATTGATCTACAACACCGATTTGACATTGAACATTAGATATCTTGTCTTTGGCCTTTATTCAGTTGAACATGGCTAAAAAAGGATTTACAAATCATTGCATTCAGTTTTTATTTACGTTTTACACAAAGTCCCAACTTTTTTGGAATCAGGGTTGAACACACTGTTACCATTTTTGCTACTGGGAGCCAGTATCTTACGAATCTTAATATAATAAATCATGTTTTATCGTCTCAATACTTTTCTGAGATCTAAATAAAAAGTGGCACAAAACAAATCAATTCAGTATTTTAACTCTCTACTCTTAAAAGCTGAATATCATTAGATGATGTCTCATGTTTTCTTACTGAATTTGAATAATTTCAAGAACTGCACTGATTTTGTCAGTAAGAAATAACAAATTAAAGTCATGCTCAGAACTTAAGTATCCTGACTATTATGCTAAGATGCAGATCCAAAAGGGAATCAGAACCAAACCCCATTGTTTACCACATGTTGTCATGATTTTCTCCCTTGCAAGAGCAATGAGCTGTTGGATTGCATTGGCTCTCGAAAAGCAAAGTTTGTTTTCTTTGGGTGATTTTGATCTTTTCGGTCATTTAGAATCTTGTTATTTCCAAAACCAACAAAACTCTAACAGCAATTATATCGGCTGTTGAATCTGGGTCACTCGCTGAGGTGAAGCTCATGCAGGTGCGGGAATTTGATCTACAGTAAAGGTCACTGCACAGGACCTGGGACACTGGTTGCATGAAGGCAGAGCTCTTTCATGAGTGACATGATGTAATGTAGATCCAGTCTGCATCTCAGATGTTCAGAGTTGACAGCCAAGCAACTGTTTTCAAACACATTTGATATCCAGTGACCGGATGTATCCAGTGAGAACTCGGGGAGAAAGGAAAACTATAAAACAAACTATAAAACTTAAGACTTTTGTTTCCATTGCATTTTTGGTCCATATGAGTTTTGCAACAGTTGCTGTTTTTATGTGGAGGAAATTTATTGTAAATTTGTATGTCCAGCATGACGGTGCAAAAACTAGACAGCGACTCCAAGACCTTAGCCCACACAGTGATCTATAATGCAAGCAGAAGTGCTGACCCTGCAAATGTTGCCTTGTTTGATTCAGTCGCCAGAAGAAAGTGTTGGCAATATACATTTCTGCAAAACATTACATTTCAATCAGGAGAGACTTTCTCTGAGAGAAAAGAATATCTATTTACATGTGTAAATAAGTATGAGAAATGGGAAAAGTCTTTGGTGATTAGACCCAATGGCGATGGTGGTGATGAGATGAGATGAAGAGGGAGCTGAGGATCTGGATGTGAAGAGGAGTGAACTTTGATGAGCTCGTCCTGAGCTCTGGATAAAGTGACTGGAGGTGAATGGGGTGGAGGAAGGCATGGTGATTCAACCTAAAATGACAGCAGACTGGAGCAGAGAGGAGAACAGATTTAAAGTTTGGCAGTAGCAACATGAATGGCTGAAGGAGATCATGGCAAAGTTTGATTGGCTAACTAGGAGAGGGAACACCCATAGTCAGCTGATTGGAGTAAGCAGTGGGAGTGGGATAGAAAGAGAATCGTTAATGGATATAGCAAAAAGAAAGTCTTCCTGAGCTTCATTTGTACATTTTGAACGTATCATATCAACGTTTTCAAAGTGACGTAGTTCTAATTACAAGTGTGTGAGATGAGTTTCTAATCACAAGAAGGGGATGGTGGATGGCGTGACACCTAGGCAAGACCACCGTTCAAGACCTGCTGTGTTTTTTTTTTTTTTACCAAGCATCGTGACATTTCTATTTTAGCAACAACAACTGGGTACTTTGAAGGCAACACATTGGGCCACATTTTAAGCAGTGTTTGCTTTGACAATATCAAGTACTTTAAGCCAAGACGGGATCTTTTCCCAAATGTTTTTTGTGACTTAACCTAACCATACTTTCACCACAGTGTTGTCACAACATCAAAAACTGAAAATGGATGCAAAAAGAAATGTAATGTTTAAACATTTTCACTACATATAATAGATACAATTGTAACATATCCATGGTTTGCAGAAACGTACAGTACCAACATTTTTTCTGGCCATTGTGTTGCTTGATTGCACCTTTAGAGGGGTAACTGATTGACAACTCTTAATGCTCTCTGGTTTTTCTTGTTATATTCTGGGGTAAATTCAGTGTTCTTCCATCCTGACTGCTCAGAGCACTTCCTGTATGTACTGTAATCCACCACTGCAACCAGCACTGGCCCCACTTCATACAGTCAATACCACAGGATAAACACTATGACTGTGATTGAAGGGTAGAGATAGATACAGAGAAGAGGGAAGGAGAGAAAGTATGGACAGAAGAGAAGAAAAAGAGAGAGTGATGAGTGCTGACTTTAACATTGTGTAACTCTGACAGATTATTCATTGTGCTATTAGTTTTCAGCAGCGGCTTACGGTTGCCAATCTACACAAAAGAGGCATACCAGCAATGGCAGTTGGGTTTAGAGTTTTCAATAATGCACTACTGAGGATTATAGACTTCATAGTTGAGTTTTACATAGGTTGTCAACCTTTAACCGCTGCACAGTTGAAGCAGGAAACAAAATTTAAAGGTCAGCCAGTTCCTTGGAAATAAGAGTTAAGTTGCATGATCATGGCTAATAAAACCCCAAAGATTTTAAGTAGGAAAAGCAGATTAGAGTTTGATGAAGGCTGTGTAAAAGCTTCAGTAAATTCTATGTGTGAACTTGATTTTCCAAACTACACCTCTACGCCTGCATACACATTGATTAATTTGTATCTGTAGCTAAGGAGATGAATCTCTTTCATTTTGTTCTGTCTTTGTTTTCTCCCACTGGTGTCTTTATTCCCCCCTCTGTTTGCTCCCTTTGCTGTCTATTCTCATTTTTTCTCCTCTTCCAGAGGAAGACAGATTGTTAAAGGGAGTGTAAGTGAGTAAAGTAGCAGCTCCCCTACTATAACCCCCTGAGCCTCCCCTTCATCACAAAAACACTCCACCCAAAAATCTGAATCCCTTGAGAGCAAACTCCTAACAGACCCTCCAGCGTCGCAGCTTGAACAGATGAAAGGCTTTGGCCATGGCTGAATAAACCCATTTCCCGGCTTCAACCACGAGCCCAGCCTGAGCTGTCCAGCGCTGCGGCTGCCTGCCTCCCAGCCTGCTGTCCAGGGACAAACACGGCACAGACGGGGAAGCTGAGGGAAGAAAAGAAGACCCAGGGAGAAAGGCAAACTCTTACTTCACCACTCAAGCTTCTCAGCTTCTTGCTGTCAAGAAAGTGGCTTAACAAAACATCCGTTTGTGCAAACCCAAGTCCCAGACTTACCTCTTGCTGTTGCTGGTAGCCTGCTTTGTTCTGGAAGTATATTTACAACAAAAGAATGGAGAGAGCACAAAACAAATTTAAGTGCTTCTCAGTCTGTAGGTCAACCTTTGAGCGTAGGAGCAGAATTAGATGTGTACGCGAGGGAGGACAGAATCTGAACGAATGATTTGAGTATGCAGGAAGAATTGTGTTGCTGCATTTGATCCAGCAGTAGAGATTCTCACACTTGTAATGATCAAAGCTGATTATACTGACTTTATACAGTCTGACTCCTCAAGCGCTCAAGAACACAGACTAAAAATAGTCACCTGTCACCTTCTCAATTTGAGCTTTGAAAATCAAAATATGTTGCTACTAAACGATTAAAATCACATTCAGTTGGCAAATGATATAATTTTCAAGCAATGTGATTAATTCAATTATTATTATTTATAATGATGATGAAATATAATAGGCTGTGGCTACATTCAAATTAACAGAATTTTCAGAATAGGCACCTCAACATACCGGTATGAATAATTTAGGGAGGCAGTAAGGGGATCATTTGGATTATGCAGACTTTAACTCTGAAAAAACACGACCCTGCCATCCAGATGTGGGTGTGTCCTGCTGCAGCTTTACTAGTCAAAAATGGTTAGCAAGTGACCTCTTGCGATCTGAAATGCTCCGAAGCTGCAAAAACAGCTGGAGAAAATTGAGAGAGCAAACCTAGAAACGAGCGGGCACATGATCGCGATTACACGCTGCAATTGCAGACTGAGTAGCGTTCAGAATTTGTTTTGTGCTCTGTCAAAACTTCATTGTCAAAGAATTTCCACACTCTGTCAGAGGAAAGTCCAGAAAATGAACGAGTCACCCAGCGTGGAAGAAAGAGTTCTCAGTTATGTGAAGAATCGGCCTCCAACAGAGTTTGGGAAGGTCTTTGCAGCAACTGTATAAAAAAATACTTTTATACAGATTTAGAATCAGTCTGAGACAACTGATATTCGATCACTCTGTCCCATGTCATGGCTCTGTTACTCCTCTCAGATGGCAACATTTTACCTGTTTCTTTTACATTTTAAATCACCATCCAAGATATTGAAAATATAATATTCATATTGGAAGAAATATGTGTTTGAGATGCCTCCATGGTCACTAAGGTCACCAAAGTCACCCAGCACATGAGGGTGATGCGAGTTCTGTTTTAGGGTGGATTTCCCTTGAAACAAACCAGCGTGCAGCCAAAACAAACTCCTGCTGATGGTTTGCCTCTTGCCTCCGGTCTCTCTGGCCTGCTTCTAGACAGCAGCCAAGGGACCTTCACCGCTCAGAGGGAGGAGCGGAGGAGTCCTCCGGCCCTCCCACAGGCTATAAGACCAGGGGCAGACGGAAACACTCAGACAGCAGGCACACGTGGAGCAAAGAGGCAGGGAGAGAGAAGGACGTGGAGAGAGGCTAAGAGAGTGAGAGACCAACAGAGAGCAAGAGAGAGTCAAACTGCTGCCACAGACTGGGAGTAGTTTCTGCTGTGGGGATTGAAACAGACAAATGTAGAAACAAAGGACCTAGAAAGAGGTTTAGAGAAGGAAAAGAGGACAGAATCAACAACTATTTGACTTCAGCATGTCATTTTAAATTTGGCTTTTTACAAAGGACTAACAGAAAGAAGAAGTGACCTTTGGGATGTTAAGTGCTTTTGTATAGACGAAGAGAGAAATCACTGCAGCTCTGAGGTCAAGCTGCTCTTGACCACTGACAAAGGACTAACCCTGCATCATAAGGGCGACATCTGACTCACCTGGTTGAACAGGTTTTGCAAAGAGCAGCAGTTGGGGGCCAAGTAACAATCTAAGGGGTGGGCACCAACATCAACAGAAAATTAGCTTCAACAAACTTGCAAAAGTTGAACCTCAACAAGTGGAAGCCTCACGTGGATTGACCAGCAGCTGACAAAGCGTTGTTACAGTGAAGATGACATTTGCTATGCTGCGCACTGCGCCTCCAGCAGGCCGCTTCTTGTACGGCGATATCGCCCTCCTTTCTGAAGATGATGATGAGAACGGGAGCGAGGGGTCAGGCTCTGAGGAGCGTAACACCAACTCCTCTAACTTCCGCCTGTCCTCCTCTTCGCCATCTGCCTTTCACATCAAGGTGAACAGGAAGAGGAAGCTGTGTGGGACAGGAGGGGGTGGAGGGGTAGATGTAGGGGGCATGATGGGGAGGCTCGTCCCCCAGGGGTCCCCTATCCCTGGGGAGGGTCGCCAGAGGACCGCAGCCAACGCGCGGGAGAGAGATCGCACCAATTCTGTCAACACAGCGTTCACAGCGCTGCGCACGCTCATCCCCACCGAGCCTGCAGACAGGTACTGAGCAACATGAGTCACACTGTGTCAGGACATTTTCATGATGTACAAATATCTTCCAAAATATGTTAGGACTACATTTTTTCCATCTGGGAACCAAAGTGAGTCGTTCCTGATGTAGCTCTGGATAACATGCACATTTAATCACAATTAAATTGATTTTGTGACAGGCCTGTAATCTAACTGAGGCAACACTGTGGATTGTGTATTATGAGTGGATATTTCCTGTAAAAGATGTGTCACAGAGTCAGAGCCCGGGAAGTGTCCACTCACATATTCAACATCTGGCAATACTGTCTGTATGTTCTATAAATATGTTGCACCTTATTTTGAAATACAATAAAAGTGCAACAATGTTGTGACAGTGCATGATCCTTCTTTTTAGGATTATTGTGCATTTTAAATAACATGCTTTAGTTAATACCTGAAATCTCTCTCTGATTTGATGATTAGAAAGCTGTCAAAGATCGAGACGCTACGTTTGGCCAGCAGCTACATCAGTCACCTGGGGAACGTCTTGCTCCTGGGCGAGGGGCTTCATGACGGACAGCCGTGCCACGCTCCCTCACCACCGTTCTTCCACGTCAACTCCTCCCCCAACCGAGGATCCGACCAATCAGCTCAGCCAAAGCACATCTGTACTTTCTGCCTCAGTAACCAGAGGAAAATGGTAAGCAGACGAAAATGATAAATCAACAGGAAATAAAAAAGCAAAATCAAATAAAACAAAAATGCTGTATACAGTAAGAAATTTGTTATTGGCTATTTTAAAACGCCACTTAATACTGACTGATATGAAAGAAAATCTGTGCAGCTTCTGATTATCTCTGTGTGACCTAAACATCTACAATAAATAATACAAAAATAATATACAACATTTCAAGCCACTTTCCAAATGCTACAAACAAAAATGCTTTTTTTCCAAAATTAAAAATAGAAAAAGCTCAGATTTAGCTGAGATGAGAGAAAGCTGATGATACTGTAAAGTGTGGCTTGTTTTGGGAAACTGTGCAGTGCTTTAGGGTCAGTTTGGTGTTTAAAGCTGACCTGAGATCAGTGACTGTGCCTGTAAACCCGATTGGCCCTGAGGGACATTTAAAGCCGAACCTCTTTAAAGTCCTCTTTTGGGGTGAAGGACTGTGTATTATTGTTCTGTTGGGGGTTTGTTTAACTTGAGCAGGTGGCTTGAAAGTTGAAGGTCCTTTCTGAAACTTGAGAGATGCTACAGTTAGTGATGGAAGTTATTGTTTTTCTCTCAAATGGGGTAAAATAGGGCTGAGAGCACGCAGCCTTTTTAAGCTTAACTGACAAGATGTGCATGACCGTTGCATAAAATCCCAGCTGAGGTGTTTTTTTTCTTTTTTTTTTTAAATACGAATTTGAAAGTTTACAAGGGTATTCATGCAGCAAGTAAGATTTATGACCAGGAGCCCATGAAATCCATCCAAAACCATGTGTATAATTTCAAGAATGTATTGACGTCAGCCTCAGTTTTAATCATAACTACTGAGGAACTGACCTGATATACAAAGACTCATAACTGGAAATGACTTTGTTCCACCGAGTATGGATATCACAGGATGAAAAACTGTCACAAGTATGTTTAACTAGCTCTTTATTGTACTTGGTCATATGTTTACACACAGCTTAATAATTCAGGAATATATTTAATTCAGGGAGACAGCACAAAACAAATTAACAAGAATATCACAATTATTTATATAAAAGCTACACTCAGTCAGATTCCTTATTTCAGTGTCACAAATAGCATTTCAGATTAGAGTTTCTACCACACTTCCTCCCACCTCAGTCTACACCTTAATAGAGATGCAGAAGAACTTCAAGTTCAACTCACATTTGATTGATTCAACACAGGAAATAGAAATAATGAAGAACACTCTCAGCATAACACAGTCGTCAGTCTGGTGACAAATAACAGGGAATGAAGAATTTTCTATCAGCTGACTGTAATCAATTGTACATGACCGCAGCTCCGACTTCATCAAACACCACCGGTCTGTGCAGAAGATGATAGAGAGGTGACGTCCACTCAGCTTTCCCCCTCTAACCTAGCCGCTGCCCATTTAGGAGGATTTATGGGTAAGGAGCTGACATCTGGCAGACTCCCCCGTTACCCCAGCAGTGTGTGAAAGCTAATACCCTCCTCAGTGTCTAAACCCAGAGACCCTTTCGCTGGGGGATAACCTGAGTCTCAGCAGTGTGCGTCTCCCCCTCCCTGCTGCCTCCCCTCTGAACCTTTGTGAGTGAAAGCCTAGACGTCCTCAGTGTCTGAAACCCAGACACCCTCGGCTGCGAGATAACTAGCCTGAAATCAGTCTTGCTCTCTGTCTCCTTTTTTCTTTTTGCTCTGTTTGTCCTCCCTGAGTTTTCCATTTTTATTCCTTTTGTCCTTCTCATTCTGTTTCACTTATTCCTCTTCGACTTCTCTCGTTCCCCCTCCTCTCCCTCAGCTCCCTGCATATCGATCAGCCTGGTGGAGGTCAGAGCTGTCAGTAGGAGCTGTGTAATACTATCTGCTGCTGTCAACTCACTGCTGCAGATGCATGACTGACCTGTAAATGCATGCTGTGTAGAAAACAATTTGGAAACTTTCACATGTCAAAACCTTCAACTGTAGACACTTTGACACAGTCTATATTACTTGATGTCAGTCACATTATGCTGTTTCACATTAGCTCAGTAGCAGTTCACTACTCTGTGTATGCCACACACACGTTTACTGTTTTCATGTAGTCCACTGAGAGGGTGAACCCAGGTGAGAGTCAATATCTCTTGATAATCTCTAGACTGATAATCCTGACGTAGTCTACACCAATCACAAATAAGGAAAGACATGACGAGTTAGGGAAGGACTTTTAGTTTTAACTTACATTAGATATGGATTGTGCAAAAAGAGTGAAAAGATGTCACTGTCATAAACTGTATCACATGAAATAATTCACCCGGCTGGATTCAGATGACAAATACGTAGTTTAAAGGTACAGTCTGCAATTCTAATCCAATACACTATTTTTCAACGAACATCTCCTCACGGTCCACTAGCTCTCCGTTTTGTGTGCACACAGTGTTCACACACAGTCCTGGCACTGTCAATAGGAAACAAATAAGTGTCTCTCACCGAGTCACACACCGCTAAGCTGATTACTCTCCCTCTTTCGCGTCTTCACCCACGAGTAACAGAGACACACCATGACAGTAATGAAAAGTAAACAGCATCTGAGATATTGCTGGAGTTTCTGACGGAGCACTGATGGGAGGGGTGTATTTGTTGGGCGGTGAGTTTTAATATCAACTCTTTTTTTTGTAGACTCCACCTTTAATTTTGAAAATGGTTTTGTAAATTAATTAAACAGCCGAGTACTGTAGCTCTTTGGCTGGTTGGGGACTGTTTTTGGCAGCGGATTAATACATATTTGGTTTGGTAGTTAGCGTTTGCAGCAGCAGAACGGCAACCATGGGACTGACTTAAAATAAACTACAGTGACTATATTTATTATAATGAAGGAACATGTCACCTAGGGCAGCGGTGTGACTGTTTTATCATTTTTGGACAGCCAGAAATAATTACTTTAAATCAGGTTTTCAGTACACACACAAAACTTTGATTCTTTTCACAGGATTTGTTATAAATAATAGAAAAATCCAGAATATCACCAGATTTATCCTTTTCAGGACGAGCACAACAGGCTCACCTGGCAAATGAATGGTTAACTCTGATTGGCAGAACCTGAGAGAATTTCATTTTCCTTGGAAAAGTGGCTATACAGTGTGTTTAAGTGGGCTAAAGGGCAGAGTCAGTGCTGGTGATTACAGAGAGGAAACGATTGTGAAGGTAAAATGAGACTTTGTGTCCTGAGTGCTCTCTTTGTATGTTTTTATGGTCATTGAGGTTCATCACAGCTGTCAGGTCTGCTTAGACCAGCTGCTTCAATTATGCTTATTTCCAATGTGGGAGAGGGTGAGAGTGAGAAAAGTATACGCTCATTTCCTCTTATTATGTGTGTATACAGTATAACGGTTTCAAAACAAACAGTCTTGTTAGTAATGACTACTGCACTGAGAGGGCTAAATACTGCACGTTACATATTCAGTGGAATACTAATGTGATTTAATTATCTGTGTGACTTTGAGCACATGATCCAGAGAGATTTAATTGAATACAGGTGAAGGATATATGATTCATTCTTTATAGATTTTACAGAAAGAAATAGAGATGCTGAGATTGAAAATTATTAAAACTCCTCACTGATGCTGCCCTGTGGAAACCATGTATCTGTTATCAGCTTTGTGACGAGAGCTGCAACGATAAGTTAATTAGAAAATTAATCGCCAACTATTCTGATAAATGATTATCACTCATTTTTCAAGCAAGCAGTCACATTTTCTGGTTCCAGCTTCTTAAATCTGAGAAGTTGTTGCTTTTCTTTGTCATGTATAATAGTAAATGAAGAGTCCTCAGGTTTTGGACTGTTGGTTGGACAAATGAAGCAATTTGTGGACATCACTTTGGAATCTGGGACATTGTGAGCATCATTTTTACCTTTTTAAATTTTATTTTATAAACTAGATGATTAGTTAAAGCCCTATTTTTTCTAGCTAATCTAAAGGCTTTTTCATGGTTTATTAAGCTCAAGAAGTTGGAGATTTTTTTTCAACCCACAAACAAGTAAACACCTCATCCTTAAGTTTATTTGAACAGTTTAGAAATCACCAAATTTTGAGATTCATGGTTTTCTTTGGACAGTTGAGATGTTTAGAGGCAGTTGGAGTACTGTGAAATCCTCCTTAGTGTCAACCTAAAGCACGACTAGTTGTTGTATTTCTTTTTTTAGTGTGACCCTTTGAATATGTTGTTGCTCAGTGTGGTGAATAATAGTGCAAATCTATAAAGCTAAACACAGGTAAAGAGCCAAACTCTGTGGGACATTTCCACTCACTTTCTTTTGATCAGATCCCAAATTATTCCATGGGTGTGTACGTACATCCTGACAAATTTTGATTAATAAAAAAAAAAAAAAAATCAAAAGCCTGTTCTGGGGTAGGTCAGGGTTAGGGACAAACCGGAGTGCAGCCTTCACATACTGGTGCCTTTGATAGATGCAGCAAAAGACATGGGACGCTCCTGATGGCTACATCTGTAAATGAGATGTACAGAGCTGAGGATGGAGGATTGAGGTGAGCAAAGGGCAGCTCAAATCCCTGCGCTGTCTGGTTGATTGATGCAGATATCCTGTGCTAGGCCTCTCTGCTTCTGCTGATCAGTGCAACTGTCAGGTGCCTGGACTCAACCTCCAGCAGGAAACCTGCACGATTACAGCTTTTTTAATCATCGTGGCGTTACTATCTGCAGTATATCTGCTTGATGTCACATTTAATGTCCTTAAAATCCAGTTGAGCATCTGCAGTGCTACTTAAATGCACATTTATTTGTGCTATAGGTGAAGGCAGCACACGAGTATCAGTATAAGGCTACTGAATTATACTGAGACAGTGTTTATTCAGCCATACTTTCATACAAAACAAAAACAGAAAGCTTTATTCAAACATGTTAATCTGTCTGCTTTGTTGTCTTTAGGCTGTGACGCTTGAAGCATTTTTACAGCTTCCTCCGCAACTGTAGCTTATTTCTTTTGGCCCGAAACAGTGAGA